GAAGACCAAGGGGTCCAGGGCGGCGTTGAGGCTGGTGAGGACCAGCGCGTAGGGGCGCCAGGGGGGACTCCGCTGCTCCACGAAGCCCACCACGTGCGACACGTTGTAGGGCGCGAAGCAGACCACGAAGTTGACCATGGTGGCCACGGCCAAGCCCACCGCCCGCTGCTTCTTCTCCAAGGGGATGTTGGGCCGGGCCAGGAGGGCCCGCACGAAGTTGACGTAGCAGAAGATGGTGACCACGAAGGGCACGAGGAAGAGGACGAGGAAGAGCTCCAGGCGCAGCGGCAGGACGAAGCGCAGCTGCGACTCGGAGAAGTCGTCGTAGCACTTGAAGCCCTGCTCGGGGGTGGCCCTGGGGGGCTTGGAGACGTTGGCCATGGAAATGGACGGGTTGGGGGTCTTGGCTCTTTGGGCTATGGAGATGCTGGAGTTGGAGGTCTTGGCTCTTTGGGCCATGAAGGTGTTGGAGGTCTTGGCCTTGTGGGCCATGAAGACGTTGGGGGTGGAGATCTTGACTCCGTTGGATGTGAAGACCTCAAGGTTGGAGGTCTTAACTCCATTGGCCATGAAGAAGTTGGGGGTGGAGATCTTGACTCCGTTGGACGTGAAGACGTCAAGGTTGGAGGTCTTAGCTCCATTGGCCATGAAGACGTCGGGGGTGGAGATCTTGACTCCGTTGGACGTGAAGACGTCAAGGTTGGAGGTCTTAGCTCCATTGGCCATGAAGATGCCGACGTTGGAGGTCTTGGCTCCATTGGCCATGAAGATGCCGAGGTTGGAGGTCTTGGCTCCGTTGGCCATGAGGACATCTGGGTTGGAGCATTTGGTTCTGTTGGATGTGAAGATGTTGAAGTTGGAGCCCTTGGCTCCACTGGCCATGAAGATGTTGGGGTTGGAGGTCTTGGCTTTGTTGGCCTTGAAGGCATCAAGGTTGGAGGTCCTGGCTCCATTGGTCATGAAGACGTTGGGGTTGGAGGTCTTGGATCCGTTGGACATGAAGACACCAAAGTTGGGGGCCTTGGAGCTGCTGCCCTTTAGGACACCCGGGTTGGTTGTCTTGGCTTTGTTGGACGTGAGGACATCATGGCTGGAGGTCCTGGGTCTACTGGCCATGAAGAGGTTGGGGTTGGAGCTCTTGGCTTCACGGGCCGTGAAACCAGCAGGGTTGGAGATACCAGGGGGAATCTTGGCCCCTCCAGCCACAAAGACCTCAGGTTTGGCCAGCTGAGCTCTGCTGGCCTCAAGGACCTCCGCTTGGGCCTCCAGGACCTCGGGATGGAGCCCATCACCCATGAGGACCTCAGGATGGGCCTCCTCAACCCCAGTGGCCTCCAGGACCTCAGTATGGAGCCCATCACCCATGAAGACCTCAGGATGGGCCTCCTCAACCCTATTGGCCTCCAAGCCCTCAGGATGGAGCCCATCACCCATGAAGACCTCAGGATGGGCCTCCAAACCCTCAGGATGGAGCCCATCACCCATGAAGGTCTCAGGATGGGCCACCTCAACCCTATGGGCCTCCAAACGCTCAGGACGGAGCCCATCACCCATGAAGGTCTCAGGATGGGCCTCCTCAACCCCAGTGGCCTCCAGGACCTCGGGACGGAGCCCATCACCCATGAGGACCTCAGGATGGGCCTCCTCAACCCCATTGGCCTCCAAACCCTTGGGATGGAGCCCATCACCCGTGAAGACCTCAGGATGGGCCTCCAAACGCTCAGGACGGAGCCCATCACCCATGAAGGTCTCAGGACGGGCCATCTCCACCTCCTTGACCCCCCAAACCTGCGGCTGCACCCCCAACCCAGACCCATTGGTCTCCGCGGACCCGTTGGTGGCCTCACCAAAGGCAGCAGCAAAGACCACGGTGCAATGGGAAGTGGCCACCAGCCAGAGGACCCCGCTGGCCACCGCGTAGACCCCCGGGCGGCGCCGGCGCTTGGAGCGGAGCGGGAAGGCGACGCCGAGGTAGCGCTCGACGCTCAGCGCGGCCAAGAAGAAGCTGCTCAAGTAGATGCTGGAGAAGAAGCAGAAGTTGGCGACGGGGCACAGGGCGGCGGGCAGGGGCCACCGCATGTCCCCCGTGGCCGCCTCGGCCACCTTGAAGGGCAGGAAGAGCAGCAGGAGGAGGTCGGCGGCCGTGAGGTTGAGCAGGAGGACGTCGGAGGGCGCCAGGCCCCGGCGGAGCTTGGCCAAGGTGGCGGCCAAGGCGAAGAGGTTGGCGGGGAGGCCCACGGTCAAGGTGGCCACGTAGATGGTGAGGACCAGGATCATGGTTGGGCGGGTGGGTGGTGGTGGTGGTTGGTTGGTGGTTAGTTGGTTGGTTGATGGTTGGTTGATGCTTGGGTGGTTGGTTGATGGTTGGTTGATGGTTGGTGGTGGTTGGGTGGTTGGTGGTTAGTTGGTTGGTTGGTTGATGGTTGTTAGCAGTTGGTGGTTGGTTGTTGGTTGGTTGGTTGATGGTTGGTGGTTGGTTGATGGTCAGTTGATGGTCGGTGATAGGTTAGTTGGTTGGTGGTTGGTTGGTGGTGGTTGGTTGATAGTTGGTTAGTAGGTTGGTTGGTGGTTGGTTGGTTGTTGGTGGTTGGTTGGTTGGTGGTTGGTTGATTGGTGCTAGTTGGTTGGTTGGTTGAAGCTTGCTTGGTGGTGGTTGGTTGGTGGTAGGTTAGTTGGTTGGTTGGTTGGTGGTTGATGATTGGTTGATGGTTGGTGGTGTTTGGTTAGTTGGTTGGTGGTTGGTTAGTAGGTTGGTTGGTGGTGGTTGGTTGGTTGATGGTGGTTGGTTGATGGTTGGTTGGTTGATGGTTGTTGGTTGGTTGATGGTTGATGGTGGTTGGTTGGTTGATGGTTGGTTAGTTGGTGGTTGATGGTTGATGGATGGGTGATGG